GTGGGATGCCCCCCCAAAGCACCCCCAGATCTCTCTACCAGGCCTCATGCCCCTGCATCAACAGGTTATAGGGCAACACCCCAGCACCGGCCACCGTCGTTCTGGCGTCGAACAACCTTAGGTCACCGAGTATTACGGCCTTGAAACTACTTAGAATAAATTGCCAGGAAACCCCAGGATCTAGAAGACTTTTTAAGGACAGAACAGATTACCCCCTTTTTTTTAGAATTGGATTTAACTACGTAAAGATTCGTAATTTGAAAACATAAAAAAGGCCTGGCGGGTCCTAGAAATGCTCAGAAACCCTTGGAATCCCTAACGCTCCTTCCGAGGCCTTTTAACATGGTCCTACTCCCTGCCGAGCTCTTCCAGGTCTCACACCCCACATCCTGCTAGGTTACAGGATGACACAACTCACCCCAGCTCCGACCAGCGTCGTCCCAGCAACAACCCTTAGCTGTTCCGTATGATGCCCACCCCTAAGCATCCCTAGATCTCTCTATCAGGCCTCATGCTCCTGCATTACAGGTCACAGGGTAACACCCCAGCTCCGACCAGCGTCATTCTGGGCATCGAGCCGTCACAAGTCCCTGAGTATAACAACATCAAAAACCACCTGAGAAAAGTTGTTAGGGATCCCGAGAGCTCAAAAGCATTCTTAAGACCCCCGAACAACCATCTGTAAAAGAAAAAAAGAAGGGGGGGGAGRTCAAAACTAAATACCAACCATCCTAAAGTCACCCCCTCAACAAAGGAGCCGTCGGTCTCGACTTTTGGTCCTCGAACCAGAGCACACTTGGTCTCATACCCCCTTCTGCATGGGTAACAGGGCACCGCAACCTTCCCCAGTAACGACCAACCTAGTTCTGTCGGATAGGAACTGCCTTCCTCCCTCGGCAATTCCCATAGTGACAAACCCCTACACAGGTTACAGGGTCAGAACCCCGGCGCCGCTTGTGTTGGACGATCTGGTTATGCCTTCCTCGGCATAATTCCATGGGCCTCAAGCTCCCCCCCTGGGTCACAGAGCCAAGCTCCAGCATCGACCCATGTCATCCCAGCCTCGTCCTCCTGACCTACTCACCTTCCCCGACATCCATCCTCTGATTGAAGGCCACCTTTCCTCCTCCCATCCTCCCCTTTTTAATTCCCCCCCTCGTTCCTTGATCAAAATCAAAATCATCTGAGTTTATAGAACTTCTATAGGAATTTATTTGGAGAATCTTTTCACAAATTTCTTAGAAGCTTTTATAGGAAAATATTTCGTTTATAGAACTTCTATAGGAATTTATTTGAAGAATCTTTTCTGAAGTAGCTTAGAAGCTTTTATAGGAAAATATTTCGAAAATATTTTTAGAAGCTTTTCAAGTTGTAGGAAAATATTTCGAGAAGCAGAAGTTTTTTGAAGGTTTTATTCGGAAAATATTTCAAGTGGTAGAATCAGAAGTTTCTTAGAAGCTTTTATAAGAGATTATTTCGAGAATATTTTATAAAAGCTTTTATAATTAAAAAATTCAAGAATCAAGAATCAGAACTTTTTTTTTTGAAGCTTTTACAGGAATTCCAATATGAGGTTTGAAGTCTAAACCGAGCATGTCGATCATCAGGAAAATTCCAATTGATCAGCAGAAAAAAAACGAATCAGGAAATCATAAACTGAGAAATTCAGAAGAGCACCCAATGAACAATAGAAAGAAATCGAATCAAGAAATCGTGAACTGAGATCTTATGATTATCCCCCTTTATAGAATCAATCATTACTACATGTGAATTAGGAAATCATGGTTATGAGCAGGGGGAAGCTGCCCTCCTTACTTTCTTGCACCCGTGTGACTTCGTAAAAAATCCCGTAAGAAGAAAAAACCTTCTGTCTCCCCTTCATCCACCATCACTCAAACCCAACCCCTTCACCTTTGGGAGGGAAGAACAAAACTCTCTCCATCTACCTGCCCTACCGGCCTCAAGGGCCTACCATAACACCAACATAGGCAAACGAAGGTACCAATCGGCCATCCCCCTAAACTTCTCCAACATCGGGATGGTGGGGCAACATCTCGTTGAGCCTGCCAACGAGCTACCCCAGGGAGTTCAAGCTTACCGCAGAGACTTGAGTCCACCGCTTCGCAGGGCAGATGAAAGTAGACAGAGGAGACCATGCATCCTATGCCGTCATCTCCAGCCGCTCTCCTTGTGGCGCCTTAACCAGCAAACACGCGCAGAAAGGGAAAGAAAGGATGTCGAAAGGAGAAGGGTCCACACGCTTGAATTCCATGGCGCGCCCTAAAACTTTGATAGCTCGTGATCCGCTGGGCCGTTCGGTCTGAAATTTGGATCACATCAGCTCCACATCGTAGACCACCGGTGGTCAAAGTTTCAGCTCAGGGCGCGCGCCCAATCGCGCGCAATCCTCGAGCGTGCGCGTGCTATTTTTTTTGCTGTGTGCTGTTATCCGACGCGGCTCCTCTCCGTGGTGACCTTGATTGATTCTGCCGGGGTGCAGCGCTCCCGGTAGCGTTGCGCCCCCATCTCGACTAGTTCTCAGTTGGTAAACCCACTGCGCCCCGAGTCTCCGGTAGGAAATGCTGATCTCCTCCTTAGTCTGGTTTATTCCCTGTATATGCGTGTGTGTGTGTGTGTGTGTGTGTGTGTGTGTGTGTGTGTGTGTGTGTGTGTGTGTGCGTGCGCCGGGGGGAGGACCCCTCCCCCACCAATCAATCAATCAATCAATCAGTCAATCAAAAAATCAATAAATTAATCAATCAATCAGTCAATCAAAAAATCAATAAATTAATCAATCAATCAATCAAAAAATCAATAAATTAATCAATCAATCAATCAAAAAAATCATCAAATTGAATCAATCAATCTTTTTTTTTTTTTTTTTTGGACACACAAAAACCACCTCCCCGAAAATCTTCTTTTGAAACTTTTTTTTGGTTCAAGGGGGTACGGTCGGGGTTCCGGAACCCCAATCCGCAACCCCCATCCCCAATCCCCTCTCCCCTCGGCGGCCGTSGGGGATTCATAGAGCCCTGGTACCTACAACCAAAGTTCGGTCAGGTCACCCCAGACTGGAGGGTGACGATCTTGAGTCGTGGACAYTGAGGTAGGATAGTGGGAGTAAGAGTGCGAGGGGATAAATTACGAAAGAGGTAGGTTGGGAGGGAGTCCCATAGGATTAGGGGGCCTCTACTGCGTGGCCAAGTGCCAAAAAGAAAAAAGAAAAAAAGATTACAGTCCTACACTATATTAGTATATTCTTCTCTTCTTTTTTCTTTTTTTCCTACATACTCACGAGACTCCCATCCTACCACCCCTCCCATCCTACCACCCCTCTCGATATATCTCCTGGCGCAACCCCACTCCTTTTCTATCTTCCCGCTACACCCAGTAGGGATTGTATTCTTCTCGCAACTTCTCTTTTCACCTTTCACTACCTACCTACTACTACCCCTAACTCTATACAGGGGACCCCTGCGAGCATAGCTACCTCACAATGAAGGGATCACATGATGCCCCCTGCACTAATAGTGGGTGGGGCTGCCAGTGTGGGTCTGGCTAACACAAAGACAAAGCATTCTGCCAGTAGCTGCACCTCCCTTTCATCTGCAGCTTGACCCCTATTCTATGAATCCCCCGCGGCCGCGGTCACTGCGGGCATGACCGCGGACTGCGGTCTGCAGTCGTGACCGCGGGCCTGCGGTAATGACCGCGGTTCGCAGTAAAAAAAAAAAAAAAAAAAAAAAAAATCAGAAAAATCGGAACAAAATATATGTTATGCCAAAACATAAACTGAACAACTTTTGCCTTGGGGTCATATCAAAACTCGTTACCAAATTTGAGATTAAAAACAAACAAAATCCTTTATTTTTCTTACTAAAAGAATAAAGTAAAGAACTTTTGCCTGAGGGATTTCTGTTTTTCATTTTTTAAAAATCTAAAACGAAGTCAAAAAATAAATCTAAAAATATACGCTTGTATAATGGAAAAAAAACTACAACCCCATATTTCTTGTTGTTTTTTTGGCTAATTTTCCTAGGAATTAAAAATGTTGGGGTTTTCCGACCGCGGCCCTCGCCTAAAGCCGACCGCAACAACTTTTACCCTTCCTTTGTTCCAGCCTGAACCCCGTTTAAAGTCTTACCCATTTTTCTTACTCCTATGAGGACGCAAACACCGAGCATTCTGCCAGTAGCTGCACGGAGCCTGCACCTCCCTTTTCATCTGCAGCTTGACCCCAATCTTACTGGAATTTTTACACGGAGCCTGCATGCGATGGGGGGTCTATGGTTACTTGAAGGCTCTGAAATAAGCATGGTTTGCGGTGGGTGGCCGTGGTGAACAGTGGTGTTATAAGGTTTTTCGACTTTTTGGTAGTATTGATGGTTCAGACCGGGGGTAGTCATTTGCCTGGTAGGCTCTAGTACTGGACCCTTGTGCTTTGATGATTCGAACACGGTATCGAAAGAATTTCTGTTAGCTTTTCGGGTATTGACGATAATTGTGGTGAGCGCAGCGTTTGGCAGCTACTGGTTTTCGGGTTTTGCGGCGTATATGACTTGGACGCGGTATCGGCAGTATCGGAACCAATGTTAGTAGGGCTAGGTATCAATCTTCTAGTCTTTCATAGAGACTCGATCTGTTGTTTTGTGGACTGTCACTACCGAGTTGACCCATAAGAAGAGTTGAGCAAGCGGACTAGTCATCTAGGTTCTGTTTAGTATATTTAGCTCGTTAGACTAGTGTCCATTCAATGTGACTTAGACCCCTGATGAGTCCTGGTCGGCGGCCAGGCGAAACCAGTCGGGTCGTTACGCCGGATGAAAGTTTTACTTCCGATGTGCTTCATGTCCATTTTTTCGAAATTCAGTCGCGTTCGGGACACTCGTCTTCCTTGTTTTTCTTCTTCTTCTCCCCTTCCTCTTCCTTTCTTCCTTTCCTAGTCTAGTGTGGCTCTCGTTCTGGTCTGTGCATTGAGAACTCGAAATCTGCTACGTGCTCCGTGCTGTCACGTTTGTGACATACTTGAGCTCACAAAGTAACCAAGGTAGGAGTGATACTACCGTAGAGTGGCTTTGACTTCAACATGGCGTCTAACGGAGTTCCCAATGTTCCGCTAGCTCGTGAATGCTACAATTGTGGCCAACTTGGCCATATTTCTCGATTCCGTCTGCAACCGGATCGGAGGTTGAATGAAGCGCGGCCCTCGAATGCTCTTGTGCCCGTGCAACCTTTGGCGACGGTACCTCCTGCGTCTAATGTGGGAACGACTGTTCCATACTATGCTGGTCAATACAACGGTGGAAGTGGCGGTAGTGGTCTAGGAAGAAGAGTCAGTTCGTTGGAGGAGATTGTCGGGCGAATCAACTCCAAGCATGAAGCTGAAGAAGCTCGTCTACGTGTACAACGTGAAGAAGAAGAGAAGAGGAGGCGGGAGAAACAGGATGAAGAACGAAGGTTACAAGAGAAAAAAGAACGCGAAGAATTCCAGAAAGAAATGCAGAGGGAAATATCGATTAAGTTAGACAAGGTGTGTGAAGTCGTCGGAGGGAAGAAAAATGGAGGTTCTGATGAGATTAAGGAGTTGAAGGTGCTTGTTGAATCTTTGAGTCGGCAGTGTAAGATGGGAAGTGAAACCGACCAAAAGACAAAGAAAACTGAGGAGATTGCTAGGCTCCGGTTTGAGGTGGACAGGCTAAAGCGAGGAAACGGCGGTGCTAGTACCTCTGCTACAGTGATTGGTGTGACCAGAGATTCCGAGGAACTCATCCGACTCAGACGTGAGCAGGCGGAAGCTAAGGCGACCACTGATAAATGCTTAGCTACGATGGAGGAGGTGATTTTTGCGCTCCAGAAACAATGTGAATCAGCGGAAGCAAATGCGGAGGTTTAGAGAAACGATGTTGAGCGCATTATTCCGGCACCGCATGCAGCGGCGCGGGACCCTCTCGGCCGCGTCACGCAGGAGTTGGACCAACCTCGTCACGAACACACAAGTGGAGCTTCCTCAGGCCGCTCCGGCCGAGTGCGCCAGCCATACCTCTTGTGAGCCCCCTATGACAGGATAGGGCCTACGCGAGGCACAACCTACCTCCACCTTACAGGAACTGTCACCTCCCATCGGTGGGCGTATCCCCGCCGAGCTACCAGTCCACAATACGAAAGCTGATCAGTTGCAATCGCAGAGGTGGACCAGCCGAGGACGTTTCTCGTTCGCTGTAGCATAGGAGGTACGCGCGGTAATACGCCTATCGGACCCGCACGCGAACCGACATCTTGGGGGGCTGAAGTCCCCAGCGCGGCCCGACGTCGGTCGACTAGGACGCATCCCAACACCACGCGCACACCACTCTAATAAACGCAAAAATAAAACACACAAACGCACACATACGAAACGACACAATATGAACAACGCGACAACACTCCTAGTCCCTTAGCAGTCATCCCATAACTTTCCGACGCGGCAATCGGATAGGCATCGTGCGCGAGGCTCAATATAAAACCGCGCGGACGCAGGGCTAACTCATATCGACTCGCAATGCAAATGTACGCAAGCAGTCGCAATGATGGCGTACTATGTAGAACCCATAACCAAGCAGTCCCTCGTGGATCCGAGTACCGCTTATGACACTCAAGTGTCAGACTCGAAGTGTCGTGAGGGTCTAATCCTTCACGACATTGCACGGCTGAAAGGAATAGTCGTGCAGCTGCCGCGAGACCTCCGATCTTTGGTCTGAGCATCTCGGTAGGCGAGGCAAATAGGCTCTGCACGGGGGCAGATTCCTTCCCTGCAGAGTCTAGGGCTTGGGATGTCCTGGACAAGGACCTTGAATCCCGGCCCAGGACCAACGTCCGACCATAAAAATCTCTAAGAAGCAAAGGATAAAAGAGGATCTCCCTTTTCTCTCAAGGCATAATCAGGTTAATCCTTGTGCACGATCACGGTAAGCCACGCGCATGCCCAGGGCACATATAAATATATACATAAGTCTTAACTATCTAGGACGATCACTCCTCACAGTCACAGTGGGGCTCCTCTCAGCCACATACGCATGTAATCGCAGACAGTCACATCCAAAGTTCGAACCACAACCATACCTGCAATAACATAAAAGATCAACAAAAGTCAACTCACTACACGGGGTCAACTTCAACCATTCTCGATGCTCATACCCCTTGCTTTAGCCATACAAACCTCACTCTTGTGCAACTCCCCAAAATAAATACTCAGTACTTCTGTTAAATGACCATTCAATAAAGTCCGGGTAAAAACACAATGAAACAATTCAAACCACAGGGCTAAAGCCTTTAGGTTGAGTGACAAGAGTGAATTGGAGTTGAATCGCAAACTGACGAGTCGGCAACCGACCTGTTATCAGTGATAACAGAAGATGATCCTGAAGGGATCAAGTTGAATCTAGTCCTGATCTTGAATCAGACACACCAAAAGACCTGTAACACAAGGTAGGTCAAATACCCAAGCTAAATCATCAGCATATGAGCGATAACCCTCCATAGCACATTCTCACTCAAAGCTACTTACCAACTAAGTCCAAACCTGCCTCTAAGCCGGTGCCCAAAGCAAAGGTAGACTAATGACAGAATCTCCCCTATTCAGGGTGGATTGCCAGAATCGCCACCTGTCAAAATATAATCTAACTCCTCTAAATCAAGAAAATTTCGGCAGCGCTTCCCGTAGGAAAAGTGTCTTTTCAGAATTTATATGCGCCCAAGTATGAAGACAGAAATAGTCTCCAACTCTGGAAAGTCAAATTTCTGCCTAACTCCCTGAATTAGTAAAAATTTGGGCAGCATTCCCTTTAGAAAGGGAGACTTTCCAGATTTATACTAAGTCAGATATTAACTCAAAGGACAACTTGAGTTCAACTTAGACAAGATTTAACTTGTGCCTTAGTTTTGCAAAAATTTCGGTAACACTCCCTTTAGAAAAATGCTATTCCAAAATTTATACAAGGCTAAGTTCAGAATCTGAAAATAACCTTGACTTCTCAAAGTCCAATTTTGTCTAACTCCCTTGATTAGCAAAAATTTGGGCAGCACTCCTTTTAGAAAATGAGACTTTCCAAATTTTTACTAAATTAGATACAAAGAATAGATAAGTTGAACTTTGACAAGTCAAAAGTTGACTAACTTCTTGGATTTGTAGAAATTTCGGCAGCGCTTCCCATAGAGAAAGTAGCTTGCCAAGATATATACAAAGCCAAGTATAACAAATGATCCTAGAAAATGTGAGAATTGATCTAAAGTAAAAAAAACTTAGCTAAAAAAATGAAGGAATTGAAACTAACTCCTATGGCTCTAGCACGTGGCGAGCGACTAAAACAACTACCTATCAAACTGAAACTCAGACCAAGTAGTAGCCTCCCTCAATCACATGCAGGCAAACCACAAAGGTAAGTACTCTCGCCATCCCCAAGTCAACCTGAGCAAACAATAGTTCATGATCTCTCAATAATTTAACCCTTTATACCCTGCTTACATAAGGCATAGGTCAGGCCACCTGAACTTACAGAGCGCGCCCAACTTAGCCAGGCTTAAAGTCAGAATACCTAAACCTATAGAGCGTTCTGACTTAGCCAAGTATACACAAACAGAGGACACAACTACTTTTCTCTTCCTTGGGCATGTGACTAGACCACTCTAGTTGCCCGGAACTGTTTTTATAGCCAAGTTATATATACCACTTTGCACTTAGCCTTCCAAATGGACATAGGGCTGAGCCGCTCATCTTAGAACGTTGCTCAGCTTGCCTAAGTTTACCTTCAGTTATATCTCTTGATTATACTCTTTTCGAATTATGATAAGTTATAGTCAGACTGTCCAATCTTATGGAACCTGCGCCTGACTAGCCTGTTCTTAATAAAATAATAATAACATATAGCCAAATTATAACACTTGGGTTCCAACATGTGCGAGGCATTGGGTCAGACTACCTAAACTTATAGAGCGGTCTGATCCCCTGCCAGGTTCGTTTCTCTCTGACCCAATTCGTACGAGGCAGTGGGGCAGGCTACCTAAACTTATAGAGCGGCCTGTCCTCTGCCAAAATTATTCCCTCAGAACAAAACAGGAAAAGGGCTGAACCACCTAAACTTATGGAGCGGTACAAACCTTCTCGTTTAGAAACACGAAAACAGGAAAAACCCCCAAATAAAGCAAGGCAACCAAAGGTACCTACACTTATAGAGCGCCTTGGGTCCCTGAAAGTCACTCATAGTCAATCCCCCACAAGTCAGAGCAGCCAGGACTCCTAAACTTATAGAACGTCCCGACCCTCCATGCAATTCACAACACCAGGTCTTCCCAAACTTATGGGGACGTCCCAGCCTTCAGAGCTTTAGGATACCTAAACTTAAAGAGCGGCCTGAGGCTCCATGCAATCCAAAAATAAACAAAGCGCTGGGCTTCCCCGAACTTAAGGGGACCTCCCAGCCTTAGTAACCCAGCCAACCTGCACACAACACTACCTTTCTCCCAGCCTTTCCCCAGATGCATTCCCCTTCGTTCACAATCTGTCTTCAGTCGAACAACAAAGTTGAAGATGAGATTGCACATGCCTTCCTTTACTTAGTCAAATTCATGTTTTGAAAATCAAACTAAGAGTCAAAGTACAGGATTCACGCAACATAATCATTCAAACATAGAAGTATGTACAGATAGGGGTTGTAGCCGGGTTTATAGAGGGAGTCAGGGAATTACCACTCAGTTCCCTGCCTCCAGGACTCATTTGAGTCCCGACAGAGCTCCCGCAATCGGTGAGGCGAACCTCCCACAGAGGCCTAGCGCGGGTTACGGGTTGCAATACCGCCTGCCGCCTTCCTCTCAGAACCAGCAGACTAGACTTAGACTAAGAGGGGCAGAAGGAAAAGCCTTCAGTCACTCAGATACAAGGAGGGTGCTCTCAGACCCGCAGGAGAGGGCCTTGATATCTTCAGCGCCTGAGGGCCCCGCAGTGGTGGCCAAAACACGCAGCCGTCAACCAATCCGAAATCAAGCCGCCGGATACTGACCTTCTGCCAACTCCTCAAATTGCAGTAGTAGCCCCACTGCAGCCTAATCACCCCCAACAAGCCTCGATGTCGTGGTGAGCTTAACACCCCATAGCCATGACCGAAAAGTGTCACGGCTCGATCAACCAAGGTCAAAGCATAAGCTATTGCACCCCTGATTACCCTCCGGCCCCCAGCTATAACCTCCTTGACCGTCGTACTCCACCCCTTGGTCGAATCGTAGCCGTGCAACAAGTGACAGGTTTCAATGCACCTGGAGGCGCAATCGGGCCGGCTATGAGCAGCAACCGCAGCTTGCACAGGGGCAAACACAGTCCACGACTGCATTGAACGGATCTGGTGAGCCACACACCACCCAACAGTTAGTAATAGTTCGCATATAGTCGCAGGCAGCAGCAACACTTTGTGCACAGTGCGCAGCAGTAGGCCGTAGCTAACAGGACCCCCTCTCTGTTTCAGCCTACAGGAGAGGCGACATTCTGGTCAGCAGGCAGACTCCTAATTCGAGCTGGCTTCCTGCCCCTTCCCTCGGCAGGGCGGGCAACACCTCGGTCAACAGCTTAGCCACAGTAGTACCTCAAAACGACATTTGCAGCTCTCCTGACTGCAGCTTCCCAGTCAACCACTTTCGCCTGAGCGGTCACCGGGGTCGAGCCAATATGTCAACAATAGCTATAGTAACCTCGACAATTACGACACCCTTCAGTCGTATGCAGTAGTTAGGGCATCACCTACGGCTCTCGTAGCTTAGTGACCACCCGCCCCCTATACCAGTTCAAGACGTTGTCAGTCGAGCTCATAGGCAAATAATGGCTCCCTCCTCAGGCACCTACCACAACGGCCTGCAGCCRAAYGCCARGAGGGGGCKCTAACTAATYGATATCGGGA